TTTATATAATATGAGGTTAAATATTTCCCTTTTTACGTCCATAAACACGGGTAAGGTCGAGATAGCTATCATTATCTTTTAACTCTTTGCCAAATACATTGATCATTTCGTCATATTCTTCCGAAGTTACTCCCAAAATTGATGGTAATACTGATTTTATGTTACAATATGCATACTTGATATTTTCAACAGCCTATGATGTAATTTTGCAAATTAAAAAAATTATCGAATTTCATAAAATAGCACGAAAATAATTACCGCTTTTCCTAGTTTTTCATCTTCTGTTTTAAAGCGCATCATTTTTTTTTCCTCATGGATATCTTCGAGTCGACCATTCTGTTCTAACAGTGAACGTAGCCTATTGCTTATATTATTATCAAGATTTCGAGCTGTGTGTATTTTACAAACTACGTGTATGTACTGAATATGATTAATAATTTTATGCATAATTTTTTAATATAATATTCCTGATTTATACAGTATACAGTATCTCACCAGCATCAATCAATCTAGTCGAAACAGGCCCCAATCTATGACCAAACGGATTGATTTCCGATAACTGGGAAAATAACGTTATAGATAAGAATTTCAATTAATGGTAGATATGATTTTTTAAGTCACGGTATAGTAGTACCTCTAAGTAACCACCAGGTTTCAAAACTCTAGTTAATTCTGTGATGGCATCAGACCAACGATCCAAAGGAATCGCACCAATCATCAAACGTTGAAATATAAAATCAAAGGTGTTATCTTCAAAGGGCAATCCAGTCAAAACATTCCCATAAATGGAGGAAACATTAATAGGCTTAATCTCAGTAGGTTGAATGGGAGAAATATCGACGCCTATGATTTTTGCATTTGGATAATCCGTTGCCATATCAAACATCCAGGAACCTGCACCACAACTTTCGTAAAAAGAAAAATTAATTTTATAAATATTTGTCACATATTTATTATTTTAACTTACCCAACATCAAGGACTTTTGAATCATTTTTATTTAAGACATGTTCAACAGGAGCAAAAAAATTACTCATATAGATGTGTCGATATAAAAAATGTTGTACATGCAATCGATCCAATTCCTCGTAGTCGTTTGGAAGATAGTATTTTGAATTCGCATC